TTAAGAAAATTAGTTTTGTGTCACCATATTATTTGACACACACACACAGTTTCGCTGTGGTAATAAAAGAAAGAGAAAGAGGAAGAAACTGAGTACGACTCTTCCTTCTCCCTCCTCCCTCCAGCCACCAAAACTAAATACAACCCCATCGGTGAGGATCTAATGTACGGCGTTTCCTGAAAGCCATAAATGTTCGCAGTTCATAGAGAAATTAGCATTCCACTATGATGGGATTCATAACCAATACGCTTTCTTAGTCACCGTATTAGCAGAACCATAACAATAAAGAGAGCGCAGTAGTTATAAGTCTCCGCCCATCCAATTATCGCGGAGAATGTACATGACTATTGATTTTGTTGACAAAAAAACTTTCGCTGCTGTCATTCAGTGAATTCTTCTTTCTACCCAAAACATTGTTGAAAGGTAATAGACCCTCCAAATTCACAGAACGGGAAGGGGAAGAGAAAACTTTCTAGCAGAAATAACTTTTACACAACATCACGTACTTAGAGAAGTAAGGCGTGCTTCTTTCACAGATAATCCATCTACAAATGACACTGTTAAAACTAATCACTGAAATATTACGGTTACAGGTGCCCTGTGCGCCCCTAGACGAAGGTAATTAGTGAATTTACATACAAACACTACAATAAAGACGTCACCTAAAGTTTACAAATGACCTCTGACATCCCGCGGGTAATAGGCGACCGATAGTAATTACAATGATAATCACTGGCAGCAACCATTGTGACAAGTACAACTGAGAACTACGAAATATCCGAGACAATGCAGAAACAATCAATAAATCGATTCATGCATCAAAACACCACGCCGAACGCATCTCACAACCAATAAGAGACGCCAAGAAGAGATAGAAACCCTTAATCGGTCAGTTAATGTTAGGGGATCACACAAGACAACTAACTAGTGCCACGCCTATATCATAGCGGGATGGCAGAGGAACTGCTATAATAGAATTGATAGTTATCGATCGATAAGGCAATATTTACATCACAGCTCGTCACCTAACCACATCTCTATCTACACATGAATGGGCATCACACAACAGGCCAAACGCTTACTGTATTTGGCCACTTTTTAAAAATAAAATTCTAAAGTGCGAAAAAATGGAAAAACATTTAAAAATTTATAAAAACGCAGAGTCAAATGAAAAACGCAACGATTAAACAAGATCAGAATATCAGAATATAGTTGGACAACCCGACCAATCGCCTCGTTCTTTCTTTTCCCAATACTCCCCGAGATACTTATGAATAAGTGTGCCTGTGATTTCATCTTGAGTTTTCTGGAACCATTTCGGCTGATACTCCTCGTACGAACGGCCTGGAATTGACAGAAAAGTCTGCAAGATTAGAAAAACGACAAATAGCTCATAAGTCTGACAATCGACAAGGAAAACGCCTTACCACTGCCTATGTCTAGGAAAACCGGCGATACTAGCACCCCAAACTGCGCGCAAATGTGCGCAAGTCTTAAACTTTCGTCACACGAACATGCGAAATGAAGCAGTTTGAGAAGTGGGACCTTTTACTACTGTTGATGTTCTGAACACGAGAGACCCACACTTTTCCGCGCGCGTTACCTGCAGCGTCATCGATGATCGATCCATGTGCTCGTCCACAAGAGGTCTAGGTGTTGTTTTTGCGAGGTCCCCTGTTGGTTTTCTTCCCTTGAATACTTTTTGCGGAAACAAGCAAGCAATAGTAGTCCCGTCGCGGAGCAAGGTGCGTTTTGCGCCGCTAGCTCGAGAAACAGATTTGATGGGAACAATTCCGAAACACCGCGATCCTTGACCGCAGCGAGACTGGATCGACTGTTACCTATGAGACCCAGGCCTGAATCGTAGTCAAGGCCGCAGGGACTTTTCGAGATTCAACAAGATTGGACAGGAATCAATGAAAAAGTAATACCATTCGGACCACACCTTGTTGCATGGCTTTTTCCATTTCTGCCTCACGTTTTCTTCGTACAGCTCGTTGTTTTTCTTCGAGCTCGAGTTTCTTGGCGTTGGCTTCGTCCCATCTGAAAACATTATTAGACAGTACTCAACGTCAAGATCAGCATTTTGTAGACCTTCCTGAATCCCCCCGTCCCCCCCCCCTTCTGTGAATCTTGTTCCACAGGACCCTGTGGCACACACATGAGCGGAGAAGGACGCGTGGCGTATCGATAAAATTCAAACTACAGAGATTGCAGCTTACTTGCCGGCTCTTCCATAAGCCGTTGATCTGGTCGCAACCGGCTATCCGTGGGCGCAACACCCGGCTCTGGTTCATTCAACTCGATAGCCAAACGAGTGAAGTTGTGCATCCGTTCAGCACCAGGGCTAAAAAGATAAAAGTTCCATTGTTGAGCATAGCACTGCTTTGTGGGATTTCTCAGCTGTAATACCGCTTACTCAAAAATCGAAAAAACTGAAAACTGCAGTGTACCTCACTGTATGCCAAGTGAGGCACTTGAATTTCGCCAGTAAACTATTTTTTTTTTTTTTTTTTTTTTTTTTTTTTTTTTTTTTTTTTTTTTTTTTTTTTTTTTTTTTTTTTTTTTTTTTTTTTTTTTTTTTTTTTTTTTTTTTCGCTTTTTAATAGGCGATTAGCACGATGATTTGGTGCTTGCCAGCATGCTATAGCTATAGTGGGGCGCTGATATAGTGGAGAAATGGCAAAAGAACGAGCGAAAACGGTCATAATCTGCGAAGAGAGAGCTCGTCCTCAATGTAGTTCCTAATACTTTTGGACGAGTTCCCGTCGCATCCCTGGCTAATAACGCTACCTGAAGATACACCTGCATATGTGTCTCATTCGCATGCAGCAGCACGGCCTTTTCATAATCAATGCCTTCGTTTATATTGCTTAGCAAATGAATCGATTAGAGCGTCAGGAACGGTCGTCCATTTGTGGGCGGGCGGGCGTGGCGGGCGTTTGGGACGTAAAGTTGTGGCTTGATAGGGCCCTTATAAGGGCACCTTCCTTGGAAAAGGCATTATGCAGCGCCTGCTCAGGGTCGCGGAATTCCGTCCTGCCAGGCGTATTAATCCTAATCGGTTAATGCCGTATGGACTCCAAAATTTCGGCTCCGAGCTCATTTTAAAAGGCAAGATCACCAAATCCGCTAAAAACTTGTATATAGGGGTAATTCAACATCGCTGGCACACATGAACTACGGTTACCTGCGGGGCCTTTCTTGGCGCTCTAAGGGCTGAGCCCAGAGGTAATCGTAGTGTCCTCTCTTGGCGCCAGCGCCAAGAATGAGTGTCATACTCGTAATCAGGATGTTGAATTACCCCTATATACAAGTTTTTAGTGGATTTGGTGACTTAGGCAATTTGAAAATGAGCTCGAAGCGAAAATTTCTGGAGTCCAAACGGCATTAGCCTAAACTCGTCTTGAGGTAATTATCGTTCCTACTGCCTTTAAATCAAGGCTATTGTTTGGAGCCTGTCCTCTCCACGTAGGGCCCGCTCACTTCAGTTTTGGGTGCGTCACAGAAGAAATAAGGCCGATTTACAACTCACGGTGGTGGATTGACTGTCCAAATACGTTTCGGCTCATGTATGCTTCTCGAGCGTGCTTTGTCGCCATTTCCTATTTGTCTTACGACTTTCAGCATATCCACATGGGAATCCCATGTGCCTTGAACCACGAGGCGAGGCTCACCATGAGAATCTCGTACCACACCATATATCTGAAATTCACGTACAGCATTACATGAAGGCTGTTGAAAAGGCAATTCAAACGCGATTCGGGAATGAACCCATATCGAGTATCCAGGTCAACCAAGCTTTACATCTCATGGGACCGATCACTTGGTACCAGACTCGTCGGAAAGGACAAAGAGACTGCTCTCTACATTGGTTCAGCACGATATACGGGCTAAATCGTCACATGTCGTTCTGAACGGGCGAGTCGAATAAGAAAGTTCTTGTTCTTCCAAACAAGCGTGGTACCAACTGACCGACCTCAGCGAGATGGGGGGACTGGTTGACCTAGGCTGAAATTCGATTCTGAATTTAAATCCCGGATCGCATCAGTATTCTGTTCAGAAATCTTAAACCTCGTCCGCAAGTGGGGGGGGGGTAGGAGCACAGCTAAACCGCACAGGATGCAAGGGATATCATTTTTCCGAAAGCATTTCTTTTCCGAAAACGGCGCTGAACCTTATCCAAGTAGAAAAGCGACACGGCCCTCTCAAGGCCTCCATTTGTGCATGCACTTGTTAAGGAGATTAGAGAACTATCGCGTGTTTTCTATTCCGTGTTAGCCTCTCACATTTTTTGGTGACTAATCTGACCGTGCGTAGGCCTTTCGTAAGCGGAGCCTACGTTGAAGCATTGGATGGAACTAGAGCAGAGTGATCATTCCCTTTTTTAAATTCAGCACGCATTCTACTTCCACTCGCAGTGGCACTAGAATGGGATATGGCAAATAAGCTATTATAACGGGGAGCGCGATATACAAGTCCGGAGTTTCATCTGCCCAGATCATAATCTAGTAGCGCACGGAAGCGGAGACATTTACCCCAACTGAAAGCCGGAAGACATGGCTACCCTGGCGGGGCCGATCCAGATTAAAGACAGCCCCGCGCTCGAGTAGTACATGGTCGTCCTTCCTTGTGCAAGTAGTACAGCCCCCAAGCTAGAGACTGTCCCACTCTATTCGTCTGCACAGCGAGCGAGAAGCGAGCTACAGCCGCTGTAAGTTCTAGTTCTAACGCCTGCTCAGTTGGACCGCCTTACTTGCTAGATGTCCTCCGACGGAGGCCTTTCAGTTGTTTTAGTCGAGCGGGCATTGCTAATGCCCATGGATAATTCTGCTCCCCTTTATTACAGTTTACTCATTGGAGGTATATACATTCAATTCAACTCATTTCGCGAGGTGAAACGCGTAAAAGCACGAGTGACGCAATTTTCGTGATGCAAAACCTCGACGCACAAAACGTGCGCTACCGTAATCCCAAATCGCGTTGATAAAATTCCTTTTCCTTCCAAGAGTTTTTCCTCTGCGTTTTTGTTGTTTTCTTTTTGTATTCTTTTTTTGCACTGGATGATATCAACTACTGCGAGATGTGATAGAGAGATTTGTGAGCTAGGGGTTGCACAGAGACCGCAGGGAGGAGGTGTGATTTGTGAGGAGCGATTTGTTTATGTTTTTGGAGGAGCTTCTTGCCTGTTTTCTTCTTTGGGAGATTACTTATCAGCTACTGTTTCATAATTGGAAAGCAGCTATCCATGAGACTTTTATCGCGGGAGCTGTCTTTAAGTGCCGCGCGTGGAGTTGCAGCTTAATACTACACCACTGCGACATCTTGATGTAATGTATACTTCTTCAGGACTCTCCACGCTTGATCACACGAAAGGAATCTGCATGAATTGTTACGCGTTACGTCTTTTTGATACCCCCTCCCCCCCACTTCATCCGTCTCGAAAAGGACGTACTGAGTATAAATCAAGTAGGCATATTGGTATGCTGGACCCTGCCCACATGCACGGACCGTAACGTCTATGCGCTAGTGAAGTCAGGGTACAGCATCGTGATGTGTGAGGTGGTGGCAAATTTAAATTCCCCCATTTTCCAATTTTTTCACCCAAAAATTTTCCGCCCGTCGAGGGGAGAATCCCCCAACTTCCTACGACCTTTTCCGAATTCCCAAAAATCCGAAGATTTCCCTACTTTTTCCCTGAAATTTTGCTGTCGAGCGTGGGGGGAGGGGTATGTAGTACATGAAACAGGAGAAAAAAAACACGCAAAAAGTCAACAATCGGAAAACCAACGCGACAAAATTCTCTCAAAAGACATACGCCCCGCCCCCCCTTTCTCGCAAACACCAAACGCTCCCCCCACCAGCAAGAAAAGTACGACCACCGCTATGTGTTATCACAAACGCTGCTTCCCCCTGAGTAGAAGTTGATTCGAAGCTACTGAAGGAATAAGCATAGAAATAGGTCAATTTACAGTTTCGTTTCTTCACTGCGGATGTGGGTGTTTTGGTCGAGTTGGATTTGGGAGCGGTCGGCGCTAGCCGCGTTTTCCCACCATGGGCGCGACGCCACTAGCTTCACAACCATGGAAAGGTGAATGCCGCTAAGCGCCAGCACCGTAGACCTCCCCGTCCTCCCTAACACGCCCGAGCGTTCGCAGCGAAGAACACTGTATGACTGCACTAGCCATAAAGGGATAAAGTCTCTCAGAACAAGGGGAACTCGCAGATCGAAAAAAAAAAAGAATTCGGTAGCCATTACTAACGAATTTAAAGATGGAGGAACTAAAATATACAAAAGTACACCAACCTTCCTAGGCGCTTCTCTACTAAAGTAGGAGTACGGGAAGAACTTCACAACACATTTGTCGCCCGTACCATGGTTGATGATCTCCATATCTCCATGATTATCGATCCAAAGCTTACCGACAATAATATTGTGAACAGTTGTCGTTATCTACAATCGTAAAACCATAAAAAAACGTCTGGAAAAAGAGACCGAGAATAAGATGGATGAGTGGGACTCACCTTCTTATATGAATAATGGTTCTTGGTACCCGGAAAATAGACATGTGTGTCCGACGGTATCACGGAGAGGTACTTGCCACGGAAACGACTTGTCATCGTAAAGTCCTGATACATCACCCACCCATTGCCTTCAGCATAATGTGCGGCTGCAGGAGGATGATGGGAAACCTTAATGGATCTTTATGGGCAACAAACCAACACCTTTCACAGCATGCATGTTCATCTTCATCGATTTCCAATGCTTCAATAAATTTTAAATGAAAAAAATAGACTGACAACAACGACGATATTTCATGACAATTGCAAAAAAAAATTTACAAAACCCACGGAGTAGGCTGCTAAAAAGTCCTGAGGGATTCCTGCGTTTTATCTTACAGCTTTCCACGATCGCTTGCTTGTAATTATTTTGCCGCTAACCAAACCTATACTCAACCACTAGCCATTAAAAAGTTAACAGGTCCACTCACTCACCAGGGAAGTCCGCCAATTTACCAAGGAACATGGAGACCTGAATAGATCGAAAGAGTCTATAAGGGTATTTACAC